GGAAGGTGACACAGAGAGGGGTTGCGGCGCGGAGGGCGGATGCTGCTGGAGGAAGGGAAAGCTCTGGAGCAAGTAACGGTCGTCTGGGACACCGTTCTCGGCATCGCGGAGGCGTGGGGAGGTCGTCGTTTGGAGCGCAAGGCGGGTGAGCGATGTCCAGCCCCGCACGGTAACAGAGCTCGAGGCTTCGGCGTTAGGAAGAGCTTCGCAAATGCAGTCCTGCTCCAGCAAGTTTTGGAGGATCTGAAGTAAACGCCGCTGCTCTGGAGCAAGTAACGGTCGTCTGGGACACCGTTCTCGGCATCGCGGAGGCGTGGGGAGGTCGTCGTTTGGAGCGCAAGGCGGGTGAGCGATGTCCAGCCCCGCACGGTAACAGAGCTCGAGGCTTCGGCGTTAGGAAGAGCTTCGCAAATGCAGTCCTGCTCCAGCAAGTTTTGGAGGATCTGAAGTAAACGCCGCTCCCTTTCCTGCCTCGGGCTCGGAACACGGCTTTTCCCGCTGCTTTTGCCACAGCGTCTCTCCCTGAGCAGAACCCGGGGTGCCTTTTCCTGTAGGAATTTGTCTTCTGGCAGCCGTGACGGGGTTGAACACGGTCTGGAGCTGAGCCCCCTCCCCACGTACCCCGGCGTCCTCGTGGGCAGCCCTGGCACGGGGGCGAGTTCTCGGGGCGTCAGGCTGCCTGTCGAATTTTGGTCAGAATAGCTGAACGTGGCAAGTTCTGCTTTTGCCCGCATCTCCCCGGCAGGACCCGAGGCTGTTGCAGCGCAGGAGCTGCAAGTCCGGAAGAGGTTTGTGAAGTTAATTTCTCACCGGTAGCCTGTGCAGGCTGCAGCGTGGCCGGAGGGTTTAGGAGGCCAAGCAAGGGTCAGGATGACCCCCTGCGAGGTGCTGCCCCATGCCAGGCCGCTTGGTTTTGGTGTGGGGCCTCTCCACCCAGGTGAGGTGGGAAAAGAGCATTCAAGAGGGAAGCCGAGCAGCAAACAGCCTGTTTTTATCTGCATCTGTGCTCCTCAGCTTCAAGCAGGCGTGAGCTCCAGACCTTTCCACTCCATTTTGATGAGGAAATCGCAGAGATTTTTTAAACAAACAGTCCTGTCCCTGCCTCCTCCTGTTCCTGAGCTTTGAAGAGCTTTTCCTGTCTGAGCTGTCCCTGAAATGACTGCACTTGCCAGGAGTGAGGCGTAAATCAGCCCTGGAGCTGGAACGGCAGTCGGGCTGTTTTCTTCGGAATTTGTCTGAGCAAGAGCAGGTAAAGGGGGGGAAAATCTAATTTTGAGCACGCTCTGTTCAATATGTGCCCGTGTGTTTAGTAAGGCTGCCATGAACAGGCAGAACGCAGCTGCCTTTATCTTGGTAAGGACAGCAGCTTCAAAAATGTAAATACGGAAACACTTACTCACGAAGATTACGCTGCTGGACCTCAGCGATACAACGGGATGAACTCACGCAAGCTGCCTTGTTTTTGTGCAAAGCCACATGGAAAATCAGGAGCTGGAGAAAGACGGTAAAAACTCTAAACGCGGAAGGTGCATCTTCCGTTCCTGGCGTTGCAGTTATTCCTCTTCTCAGACCCCTCGTGAGGCAGAGCAGGTCGTCTCGCCGCTCGTGGGAACGCGGCTCGTTGTTGTTTGTGAGGACAGATACTGCAAGGAGGTTACAAGGGGGAGAATCTGGGCTGCTCCTGGAGCGGGAAGATTGTTCGGGATGTGTAGTTTGTTTAGCAGTTCCCAAACTGCTGGGAAGGGGTGAGCTAGGAACTGAGGGGTCCTGGTGCGTTAATTATTGTGTCAATTAATGCCATGCTTGTGTCCTCTACCTCTGTGCTCCTGCAGACGGCCTGTTGTCTGTGCAGCATGGGGTACTCCAGCGGTTCTTAAACCTCCCTTCAGCCTCCTGCCTATTACTGTTTTTGGTGATTCTTTTATTTCAGCTATAATGAGGCCGTTCTCCAGTCACGTGTGATTTTACATATCTTTTGGATAAAAAATGGGCAAAGTTTTCAAACATCCCTCTGCTTGT